CAAAATTATTAGTCGTGCAACGAAATATATTTTGCAAATCATTTTCTATAACTGAAGATATCTTACCGTTCCGCTCGCTTGTCATCGCGCGGCACATCGCGGTATATTGATCGATATGTGTATGAACTTACCAGTTTACTTCCACTGTTGCCACTTGATGAAGGAGCGTTTGTCCCCGATTTAACATCTCGCGCGACGAGAGATTGATTGGATAATTTTCTCGAATGATTCGATCGTGGAATTTGTCGAACTGGTTAGCCCGTGGCTAACAATAACACTCGTTAAGAGCTTGGCAATCTTCTCCACAATGGTTTCTCACCGTGCACACGTATGAAAATAATTTGCCAACGGCAGATGGATTATTATCGTCAACGCCGATCTTGACCGTGCCGCCACAGGTAGTAACTACTTTCTCTTCGCTGTTCTTTTCTCCGTTTGCGCGAGTCATCCCAAGGACTTTCCTTATGTAGGAGTACAGAGCGCTGGCTGAGATCCAACGTAGCCTTACAACTCGGGGGGGAGGAGGAGGGAAAAGTTACACATGCCGCAAAGAACGGGAAAGGAAAACGACGTTTTTCGTTATAAAATGAGTTTATTTTCTCTGTACCATATATGCTATGTACAACGTGTGTGTTACGGTACTGACATATACGACGTTTGGCGAGAAAGATACGTCTTGATAATGTAGAAAAAAAAATGGAATTAATTAGAAACACGCACGCATTACGTTTAACGTCAGCAGAGTGATTCGTTAAATTACATAGCAGTTTCAGTGCGTGGATGGTATGACGGGCGTATTATTAAAACGGTAGTTGGTATGCTGGTCGTGGATGGGAAAAAAAAAATAGGCGTGATAGGGTACGAGTATTCTTGAAGGGCAATGTACGTTAACGTAAAAAATAAATAAGCGATTATATGCTGGTGCGCGGATATAACATAAGAACGCTCGCGATCGTCGGGTAAGTTCTGTACGTGACGTATGTATTCGCGATGAAAATGGTTTAATTTGGCGAGAGACCGACGCGGCGGCGCGGTCGGCAGCGGGAGAGGAGGAGTCGCGAGAGAGAACGGCAGGGAGGCTAGGAAAACGAAGAAAGGGAGTGAATGGGTGCGAGGGGGCGGATGGAAAAGAAGACGTACAGGATAGAGAAAAGCAGAAATACACGCTTGTCATGGTACAGAACAGACTCGAGCTTCTCGAGCTTACGACGGAGCAGGCGCGCACCTCAGGCTCGAGGACAAGCACCGACATCTCTACAAACTCGTGGATACTCCTGGTAAGAAGTACAGGGTATAAACACAACCCTCATTAAGATGGACGATACGGAGGGTGGCGGGGGGGGGGAAGGGGACGGGGAGCGGGAGCGGAGAGGGAGAGATGAAGAAGAAGCGAGTGGGTACTTGCACGCGGTGAAACGAGACGACGCCGGCCGCGTTGAATTGCTCGCGGCTACCCAAGTCGGCCGGCCGGTGGATTGCAGGATTGTGCAGTTGATATCATCGAGAGCGATCGTCCTCGAGCCCAATATTATCTTTCCTTCGCAATTGCCTTCCGCGGCCCCGATCCATAGCGCCGAGGCCGCCGGGGCGCGTTAACTTAATCTTAATTACGTTATTATATTGATGAAACATGATTGCTCCTTTAACTTTTCATCGTATACGCTCTTTAAATGTAAAGACAATTAATTAATTAATGATTATCCTTATACTCCGCGTACTCGGCAGTTTCCATTGACTTGGCATCAAACGTCAGCGACCGGGGCACGGCCGGGTATGCGTGCCGCGCATACGGTTCGATCAAGTCGATGAAAAGTGCTCGCAACATCGTTATCGTGTTACTCGAAATGCACGCTGTCTACGAGGTGGCGCGAGAAAATCTTGCACATCTTCCCCGTGAAAGTAGTGACTTAGGATCCGTTTCAGCGAATTTCCGCATTTTATTATTAGTGGAGACAACTTTCATCTCCCCACAAGTCTACCTCTTTTCATGAATCTCTCCCCCCTCTCTTCCCTTCTCACGTCGGAGACCGCTTCTCGCAGCGAGGCGAAGAGATGTCAGATTTTTCTTGCGCCACTCCATACGCCCATGTGTTGATACGTGTTGTATCGAAATTACACCGCTAAAGCGTTGCGCGCGGCGACCACATACGCACGGCGAGCGCTTCCCGGGTGCGCGTTCTCGCGCACCACCGTTCCAGCGTCGACGCGGTCGCGCTCGCGCGCGCGCAACACCGTTTCTCAATTGCGTTCGTACAAAATATCGTCGAACATGTATAAAATTGGCTCTACCCTCTCACCACAAGCAGGTTGGATATACTACCGCAGCGTTAGCGAAAAATTCTTAAACGTAAATCCATAATTGAAGTGTTATCTTTGAAGGAAAGTAAAAAAAAAATGAGGGAGAAAAATCATTAAGTTCGTCATGCACATCGCGTTCACTTACTGTACGCGTAGGCACCTTCGTTGGCATGTTCATCATCGTACGTATACATTATATTTATATATATATATATATATCCATATTTATATATTTATATTTATTTGTATTTTATACTTCTATAAAAGAGCGGATCACGCGTAAGAAGCAGCGGTGAAGCGGGGAAAGGGAAGTTATCGGCCAGGCCGCGACTGGTTTACTTCCGTAATGCGAAGGTAATCGAATCGCGCTTCGGAAATATACACCGGGGAAAAAAAATGCGAGTCCCGCCTGCGTTTTCTGCATTTCAATTTTTATCCCTCGGCGGGATCAATGCCGCTTGATTTAAGGGGGTGAAATTCCATTTAGTCCGGTGTCGACGGGATCTCGTACGGGGCCAGTGCCTAGCAATATCCACGGCAATTAGATCCAATAATTAAAGCGTACACTGGAATTCCGATGGACGTAACATACGCGCGCTCTGCCGCTGTGTATATCCTTTTTCGTTCGATGTCGGGCTATTGTTGTTGCGTTAGCGACCGCTAGCCGTTAACAGTGAGTTACACGTGCGGCAAACGCGGCCGTGGTAGACGCGAAACATTCGCGGATGGATATTCTATCTTGCTCGGAAAAAAACCTTTTCCAATCTCTCAAATTTAATCTTGCATTCGATTATCTCGACATCAAAACAGATCAGAACGTTGAAATATTATTTTAGATAAAGATATAATTTTGCCCGTACAAGTAATGAGCACGTGATCGCTGCTTACGTACATAACGTTTTCGAGGCGTATGAATAAAAGCAGAGCTCGTACAGACGCGAATTCCCGCTGCGCGATCGGCAAATGTCAAACACCAGAACAATCCGAAGTTTGGTTAACTGTAATGCAAACACTTCAGTCCGATTGGAGGCTCCCATTTTGTCTCGCTCGTTCCTTTGTTTGTCTTAACGAGTGTATTTTAATCCTCAAGTTTCGCAATTAATCTGATCTCCCCGTGGGTCCGCCTTGTGTACTTTGATGAAATCGATAAGGCACCGTTGGCATAGCTAACCGATTTGTATTTCTCGATACTGTAGCGTGTTATATCCTCTGGTTTCTCTATTGATTTTTCTTTTTTTCCTCGCGCGTTCTTTAAAGCAAGATAAAATCTGAATCGCTATGTCTGGTGAAATGTTTATGTTAATTCTGATTATTATGCCAAGCAGTAGTCATTAAAATGCTCTAAATTAAAATATGCAGATTATTTTATCTCAATTCCCTTGATAGTGTATTTGTGTATATAAATTATAAAATATTTCATATATATCGATATTTTTAGAAATTCACTTTTCGTTTCTCTCCATTTCTCTGTTTGCCGCGTGCAATGTGAATTTGACAAATACCTTTTATTTGCGGCTCATACAGAAAATATTGTACAATGACTGTTATAAACTGAATTTTTCTGTGTTTGACATTATCGACGCGGCTTTGTCCTTTAGAATTTTCTCAAGATGTCCGGCAAGATGAAATTGCAGAACCGACGGAGCGCAATATTTTATTGCTTACGTAACCACAGTCCGAAACAGGTTCTTTTAATCGTATCAATCAATTTTTTATTGCCTCTTTCGACTCGAATGCGACCAATCCAGATTGATAAGCTCACGTGTCGCGACGTAAATTAACCTGGCCGCTATGGGATGGCTAAGGATAAGGGACATGACTAAGGTTACGTCGGAAGGGGGGGTCGAGGTTACGTAATTCTGGTATGGAGAGATAGCTATCCTCGATGTGATCCTGCACTACTCTCTCTCTGTCTCTCTGTCTCTCTCCCTCCCTCCCTCCCTCCCTTTACTCTCGAAGCTAGATTCAACCCCATCAAGCGTTACCCCCGCAAGCTTAGCTTAACCCCGAGACGCCACAAGAGGCAATTAACCTTCCGCCAACCCCTTTGCGCGCACGTACCTTTTGCCCCTCTTCACCGAGCTCATCGCGTTTCGGTCCTGCCTCTGTTTTCTCTCGTTCCGTCTCAATCCCTTCTCTCTCTTTCATCCCCGTATTTAAGCCCGCCGCTTCTAGCTCCTCGCCGCGCCGTACCATTGATATCCTACTCTACACGTCTGCATAATCATGCGCAATTCCCAATGCTAATTAGAGTCCATGCCGGTAGCCTAGCGTATACGCGTCAACTCTCCATCACCTACAGAGTCACAGCGCGCTGAGACGTGTCCCACATCGCGTCACGTCGCCTCGAGAGAAAAAAAAGGGGGACGGTAAAAGCAGCTTGTGAGGGCAGGGCAAAGCGAAGGGGAAAAGGGCATGGCGGTGGCTGCGGCGTGGCGATGCACGTGGGCGCAAGAAACCGACCGAACTCGCGCGCGAAATCGATTACTCTCTTCGCGGCTGAATTTTTGTGGCCGTTACATTATCAACTACTTACCGGCGGAAGTGGTGTGGCGAGACGGCCACTTTTATCCCGGAACAAAGTAAGAAATCGATTTAGCCGCGGCGTGAAGCGTGTGATTCTCGGTATGCGTCTCCGATCAGATACGGATTAAGTATCGACGTGATATTACGAGAGAGAGCTTCCCCTTTCTTTCTTTTTTTTTTTTCATTTATCGTGCCCTTTCACGTCCGCTTCTGAGAAGCGGTTTCCTTAGACGACGTCGATTTTCGTTGAACGACGATACGCGCACGCACGAAGGTCACTTGGACATTGAACGTTACGCTAATTAAAGGTTGCCGGGTACGGATCGTAATTGCAACCTTGCTCCTTTCTTCCACGAAATAGCCGGCCACCCGAGAGACAGAAAGACGAAATTGATGATACGTACGATTCGTTGCGCCGACCTTGGCCGGAAACGCCGATTGGGAGACACTGATATCTGTGCCTTCAATAAGCGACAGATGTAGCAAGTAATCAAGGCGCAATTGTGCCTAATTATTCCGTTCAGTAATTCACCGGCATTATTAGCACGTGTGCATATACGCGAGCGTGTAATTAACTTTTAACCGGTAAGACAAAGTTGCAGAAGCAACTTTCGATTAAACGATACGGCGAAGTCGATCGGTTTCACTACATTGCCAGCTGCGAGGAAATAAAGTTTGGAACGAGAAAGAAGATACGTCTATGATAGTATCTAAATACGGTAATAATGTAGATACACAAGAACATTCGTAGAGATGGGCAGCGCGATTTCATTTTCTTTTTGTTTTTGATCGTGTTTTTGATCAAACAAACGTCTCCTCTATGCTACCCCGATGCGTTCAACAAACTCCGCGATCTGCCCATCTAACCGAATCTAATTGGAATTAGTAGAACGCCTCTGCAAAGCTTCCACCCGACTACAAGGTAAGCGTGGGTGGTAAAAGGGCCATGCTCTACTAAAAGCTACGTATATTGGCTGCAACCTCGCAATGCGGTACACTCGTAGAAGTTTGATATAGTACGAAGGTGGCGTTCATCCGAATTCCATATTTCATAAAGAAAGATTCAAAGAGAGGGGCCGCGCGCGGGAGTGTTTACTTTTGCCGATCGCCTCGAGAATCGTGACACGCGGCACGATCCCCTCTTCGCGGCACGCATCGGTTTGAGAACTCACGTCCATGTGAAGTCAGCCAAAGATTCGTTAATAGCGATTTACGCAGGAAGACGAGATTGACGATATGCCGTGGGAGCTTGGTGGGAGAGGTCGTTCAGAAACGACGCGCGGAGTATCCGCCGTCGTACAACTTACAGAGACTGTCGGTGCGCCCGGGCATGGAGTGCATCCCGGGTACGGAAACGGAGACCGATAGCGCCTCCTGGTGCTTCAGCATCTGCCGACGTCGCTGCCAGGTGAAGGTCCATGCCGCTATGATGGCGATCTGGGCGACGAGGAAGACGGTGCCGGCTACAATGGCCTCGCCCAGATTGATGCACATCCCCATCGTCGACGATATGTCTTCGCTCTCGACGAAAACGGTGTCCCTCGTCGCGGACGTGAGGTTCGGTAACTTACCGTCGCGCTCGAAGCCAAACTTGTCCGTGATCTGGATGGACTGCACCAGGAGGAGGTCCTCGCGGCTCTGGGAGCCGACGGCAGTGGAGCGACGACGGCGACGGCGTCGGCCGAAGGAGATCACCGAGCGCAGCTCGCCGGTCGTCTCCTCCTGATCGCATTGCACGGGTTCGCAGGTCGGCATGCACGGAGTGACCAGAGCGCGGAACTGCACCACTTCCGAACTCGGGAACTTGAAGGCGTCAAAGTGCGACAGCAAAATCTGCATAAAACGAAAAGGAAAAGAGATAATAAATAGGTTGACAATTTATAAGAATGAAAGGAGATTACTGAGAAAGCGTAAGATATTCATTTGTCAGCTCACAGAGCTAACAAAAATTCTTTATAATTTCTTGAATGCGAAAAATTAGTTTATATCTTAATTTTCGATAATTTCAAAATTTTGATATATACTCGATAGGTAATGATGATGATAAGTAAATGAACGTCGTGATCTTTGCATTTAATTTTCAACATGGTATGTAAAAAAATACATTTCAGCGAGGAGCACGAGGGAAGGAAATTCGATACGTGGAATGTAATAAAAGGAACTTCCTCTCGCGTACTCCGTCGGTCCCTTCCGACGGATTGCAAGTCACGTAACCAATTGTTTCACGCCGTTACTTGTCGCTCGGATAATACATAAACACCTGTGCCGAATGGCTCCTCGGAACGCAACGATTTCGCCGTTCGGGGCTTTTGTCGAGTTCGCATACCGTTAGCAAACTACAGCGCCAATATTATGACATTTGCGGCGGCGCGGCGTCCCCCCGTCTCCGCTTCTCTTTCGCCGCTCTTTATTATCCCGGTAGTTGCGTATAGAAATTTCCGTGGTTTTTTTTCATCGCAAGAAACAAATTAAAGTACCATCAGGCGCCAATGTTAAACTGAGAGTGGTGTTTGCGGCGAATTTCGAAGCGACAGATTTATATCTGACTTTTTTTTCGCAAAGTTAGAAACTACCTAACAATAGCGAATGTAATCAGCGCGAGGCAGCTGCGAAACGCGCGCGTATCTTGCCTTTTTTTCTATACATACTCGTAATTCATACGCGATGTCGGTGCGCCGTCGACTCGACTAAGCTGTGTCGCATTAATTCTGAAATTCCGACACGGGCGGTCGTTCGCTCATAGAATTCAGTGTGGATGCGGAATAATGGTAATCTTACCCATATGTCGCTCTCACATAAATTTTCGACTGTATCCCAAAGTCAGGAACCGGGCCGCGACGGCGCGGCGGCGTGATTTTACCCGCGCGATCGCGCGGCGTCGAGGACGCGACGCAAGGAAAAAAACGCGGGCTCTTACAGAAGAGGGATTACAGAATGCGGATGTCAGGGATCGTGTAACACGACGGGCGTCGGCCGTCGCACGCAATATGCGTAAGAGATGATCACTTCAAACTGGTTTTTCACGTCCCGCGGCAGCTGCGTTCGAATTTTTTTGTTCTTTATTAGGTAAGGCCATATAACGGCAATTACACGGGATTATGACATGAAAAACAGCCCAAGTACCCGCTTTTACGCGCGCCATTAGAGCGCACGTATATATCCATCCGGGCAAATGGTGCGACCAAGCGCATCGCTGTAATTCCTATTTTCTCGCGACAAGCGGACCTATCCGTTAAAATCTTTTTTATTTCGTTTACAGCCTATGTCGTGGTTATATCGCGCGTAAGTTTTTTACCGCTATCTTGGTCGATCGGAATTGGTACAAGGGATTCAAGTCTCTCTCTTTCTTCCTCCTCTCTCCCTCCCCCCCCCCTCCCCTCTCTCATAGTTCGCCTACAAAACGAACGTATGATAATCACTCGTGTTCGCTCGTTAGGCTCGTCGTCCGCAGAGTAATCTCGCGATCATCGTTTTCACCTTGGAACGCCACGCCGGCCGTAATATATTCATAGCTACGTTCGCACGGCGCGCACGGCTCGTCATTGATTTCTCTTCATTCAGATCATTCGCTATATACATGCTCGCAGGGTCATGACGCCCGCTCTTGAAGCTGAACTTCTCTTGAAATTGAGAAAGAGGGCCGGGAGTACGCACGAGGTTAGCGCCACGCTCATGTGCACGTCGAAAACTGGTTTCTCTGCGGCGCATTACCAAGTTCATCGTATTTACACACCGAGCACGTATATTATCGGCGGGAAGTAAGACATTAAAATATGCTTCGTTCCACGTACAGCTTCATTTAGCCGTTTCTTTGCCTGCGCGCGCGTCTAGTGGAACGAGCGGAACTTTATTAACCCAACGTCATCCCGCGCAGAAAGAGTAGCGGAAGGTCCATTCTCCGCGGGGGAAAAGCGAGAGCGATTGCATTCGTAGCGGATGGAAGAAGAAGCGTAAGCGGATCGAAGGGAGAGAGGAGAAGGCCGGTGAGGAGGAAAGCCCGGGGACGCGCGCGAGTTTGAGAGGTAGAGACGGAGTAAGAGAAATATACAGAGAGTACAGAGGTACGTATATAGCCGCCGCATGCACCGGGGAAAAGAAACACAGGCCGTATCCGCGGCATCTGGTACGCGCCGACGATAAGTCTCCTTCAACGGCAACGACGTCGGCGATGGGAAAGGACGGGAAAGAGGAGCCCCGTCATAAATGTACCGCATCAGATCAGTCAGATCGTAAGGCTCGCCGCCCGCGCTTTTACGGCCGCGGATCAACCTGATCCCCCGTTGTCTGCTTTATAAGTCGGCCCGCGGGCTCTCCCCCATTCGCCCGCGGTTCATCCCTACGTATGTTAGGAGGGGAGGGGGGGGCGGCGGGGGTTACACGCTCTCTTACGTATACGGTTTACGTATACGGACGTGGCGGTTGAGAAATGTTTCCAATTTCATTCAAACCGGTTGTGAAATGGAAGAGAGCCTTCGTACCGCGGCCCGGTTACGTGACGGACATACCGGAAAGCCGAACTTTTGGCAAATTTCTGGTTAGACGCGGCGCAATGCCGCATCGTCACCGACACTCCGCGCGATGCATCCGTCGCCGACGATCGTTTCTCATTCTATCTCGATTTAGGATTAATAAAATCAACGGCGTTGTATACCGGTTGACGTTCGCGGCGCGTTCGCTCGTTCGTTTTACAATCGTTCGTGTTTATGCGTGACAGATAAACATTTTCTATTATACAATATTATCAGAGGACGCGATTTTAATAGCACGAATAAGCTCTCATATATGTGGAAGATGTGACGTGCACGAGAAATATTTTATATAAATATTCAGAAAGTTTATAATCTCATCTATCTATATAGATATACAATTTGCTTCGCGAGCAGTTCGTTAAATTACAGACTTTATAAACGTATTTCTAAGTTCGGCAAACATTTATATTAAACTTTGTCTTATATTTGCAAAAATAGTTATTTTATTTGATAGAGGCAGAAGCATCTTTAAATATTCTTTAGTATACATTTATTTGCTCCGAATGATTATCAGAATATTAATTGTTAAATAATTAATTATTGTAATGGCAATCAGTACATCGTAAATGATTTTATCAACTTGAAGTTAACTTGAAGTACTAGAAAGTACTAGTGTTCCCGGTAATAATTAATTGTTAATCGTTTATTAGCTTGTGCTCATACAACATACGGGAGGGAATAGGCCTTTCAGCCTTCTGAGATTAAGAAAGACAAAGAATGAACAAGCAACTTCCTGTTATCGGGTATATCTCGGGTCAAACGATGCCCCTTCGTTTACCGAGAATCAATGTTGCGAACGTTTATTACCATATCGTAATGACGGTATACTGTCGCAAACGACGGAGATTATTGATAGCTGATAGCGTGGCGTATATCAAAGTTGTTGCCAGACGTTTTATCATTCATGCCAGTCGACAGGTAAATAAGGTGCGTACGGGATAATATACGGCGCGAACGATCGCGATGAAATCTTCTTCAAGTTACGCTTCTACAGATTAGAATTTACATACACCCCGCCGTCTTGATTAAACGCGCCAGATGAAAATTGAATATAGTGAGGATATTTTTCTTATTCTTGCCTGCGCCTCGACAAAATTCACCGAGCGAGAGAGAGAGAGAGAGAGAGAGAGAGATCTCAGCGGCATCGAGATCTCTATCTTCGTATCGTAGCACTCGACAGGAAATGGGGTTAGCCCTTCGTGATCAGCCGCGCGGTCAGGAAACGAGATCAAGCCAACAGCGCGCGGTGCGCACGTTCTAAACCGGAAAAGGGCGCCACGACGCTTGATACACAGGAACGACTGTGGGGGTGATATATCTTGATGCTCGGCATCTTACGTACGTAGCCGATATAAATTTACTCTTTGTTTCTACCACGACTGTTATTACTTTCTAATAAAGCGATATTGCGCCGTACCGCGGCCGTGCTTGCGCGAGCAAATGATGTGGAACGACGAGTTAACGAGGCCGTGCGCCTCTTATTGCTCCACCTTCGCTCCACCGGCACTCGTTCCCTACCTGCCACTATCGTAACGATCCGTTTGTTTTACTCGTCGACACGTGAAGCATCAGCCACGCGGTCCACGACCCGGGCGTAGCTGGTCGAATGTTGCGCGCCTCGAACACAATGCAGCCCAAAGAAAAGCCCGCCGCTGCTGCCCCCGCACCGTTCCGCCACTTCCGCGATACATCGCCCCGGTCCCGATGCAGGGAGAAAACATAATTGGAAAAGTCCAAGCCGGTTATATCGCCGGCTTCAGACTAACGTAAGAACGACTGCTCGAATTATCGGGGAAACATTTTTACAGGTTTATTAATGCCCAGCGCCGCGCGGAATCGTATTTCTCTCTTGCGGCGCGCGCCCGACGCTATATCGTGCGAGTCATCGTGCAGAATGTACGAGCGGTATATGTGTAATTGGTCTATCGAGGTCAATACGTGGCGATCGCCTACCTATTAACCGCGCAAGAATTATTGTACTTCCGCCCTAATGCGTTTTCGCTCTAGCTCACCCACGATACTTCACGCATCGCGCGAGAAAGAGTAGAGGATTAAACCATTTTTTCGCGATCTAATGGGATCGCAAAGTCAATTCCCATGTTACCTTATGCGGGAAACGCGGAAGTAATAATCGCGGGCTCTACGAGCTCTCGGTCGTTTTGAACGCAACGGTGTGTTCCATTATTTAATGATCCGTCTTCATACATTTGAATGAAAGACGTCCGTTCTCAATCATATCTGCATGTCTCATCTATATATTTTTTCTTCTTTTTACCACTATTTCATGCGAGACAGACCGTGGGAATTTGTAACGACAAATGTGTGCTTAATTGTTAAATGTATTTATAAAAATTATATAAAATTATTCACTACGACAAATAATGAGTGAAAATCGGAATATTTAGGATGATGATTGAACGAATCTCACTTTTAAGCTCTTACTCTCGGAGAGATAATCTTACGCTCCCTTATGTGGAACACGCGGAAAGTAATGATCGTAGCCAGACCAATGCGCCCGCATGCCAGGCATGTCACGGCACGTCATCGCCAAGACGGCGGCGCATCATCGACGCGACCTATTACAGGCCTGGCAAATTGCTTCCCGTCATAAAATCCGTTCGGGTGATTGATTAGCATGAAGTCAGATCGACCGTCAGGTTGACTCGTGTCTGCTTCCATCTCACTCTTTTTCCACCCGGTCGCCTTACACCCGCGCGCGTACATTTCGAGGCACGCGCGCACGTTCTCACAAAATACACGTCAATAAGCATCGACATTATAAGCGTCAATCACCTTCGATCACCTTGTCGTCCTCCGGGTATCGTGTACGACCGCTAAATTAGAATCGACATTTATCCATCCTTTCTATTGTTACCTTCAGGGTAGCCACGCGCATATGTACGTTTTTATCTCGACAGGTCTTTATTATTATTTACCTTGTACCTGACTTATGATTACATTGCACGAGATGATCGGCCTTATAAAAATGGAAAAATCACATGATATGCAGGGACTTACCTTGCCAGTAGTAGCCGACTTGTAAAGCGGCCCCATGATGACGTGGTCGGTGGGGCAGCCATCCGAGTCGATCAAAACAATTTCACTAGAGTCGACACCGTCCATGGCGACTAGCTCGCGAACGAAGATCTCGTACGGGCTGTTAGGGTCGAGGATCTCGAATTTGAGCGCCAAAGGATCGCCGACTTCAGCCGATGGGATAGCCTCGTTTCCGCTGCGATCGGTGATCTTCATGGCGACGTTCGGCGAGTCGACGATCACCTCCTCCGACAGAGCCGGCGTGATGTCGCCGTGTACACCGAGATCGACTTCATTGGACACGGTCTTGTTAGTGAGGTCGTACTGGCAAGTCACAGCCAGCCCGAGATCGGAACTGGTGACAATGGTGTCGTGATGCTGGATGATCACGTCGTTCAAATACCGGCCGAGGCCCTGCTGTCTTATGTTACACTCGAGATCGTCGTACGCCATGCGAAGTTCAAACTCGAGCGCGCCCTTGATGTCCTGCACGCACGAGTTGGGGGAGCCCTTCGCGTACACCTTGCCGTAGAAGAGCTTGCTGGTCTGAATTCTGGTCACCATGTCGCCGGCGCGACAGTCGATGGTCACGTTGTAGCAGGAGCTCAGTTCGTATGTGGACGCTTCCGGTACATCGAGGTACGGCTCCTGAAATTATCGTTTGTTTTCGGGCCGTTATTCATCGCCTCCCATCGAGTGTTCGATGTATATCGCGCGTTAATGCGATTTGTCGCGGTATTAATTTAAAGGAATTATAACGAGCGGCAGTGATAAATTCCAAAATACGCAAAGCACGGATATTTCGCAATTAAACTTCGCGAAGCTACTATCTCCCCCCCCTCCCTCGCGTTTTATTGATCAATCTTCTATTTTGCCCGCTTCACCATGGTCGGGAGATTTTGATAGCTTGCATCGGGCTTACGCAAAAACTTCCAGAGAATTTATGACGAGAATCGAGCAACGCGAACGAAAAAGGTACATCGAAATTCCGCTACAATGTACATTGAATCTTCAGTGATATAGTTCGCGTGGCAATTGTATTTCGACAGCACGCACACCTAGAATAGGAGCGTATGAGCGTATTTCGTAATTTACACAGAAAATATATACCGTAAAAGTTTTTTTAAATAAAATTTTTGCGTCCATTTAAAAGGAAATAGATTATTGCGTATATATTATTCAGTTGATTTTCATTTGTGACGCAATATCACGTGGAATGTATAATTTTATTTACACAAATAATTAACCATGTTCTTTATTCTCAACATCTAAAGCGTCACGTTCCAATTTATTCGATACGATACATCAAAAACCAATAATTATAAATGATGTATACGTACATGCCACACATACGCGTGAATTTTCATTTATATCGAGCAGAATGATAATCCGCTCTGATTCACGTGCTTGTCACTTTCAAAAGAATTATTCGAAATCCCTTTATATGGCGCTATTTATCGCTTCTCGTTCGAGGCTCGATGGTTCTCTTCGATGAAACAAATTAATCGCGAATATTACGCTGATAAATACTCTTGACGTTTCGCGCTATCTCCACAGTTAATAATTTGTATATTTGTGGAGATGTGCCGCTGATGTGCTTGCGTAACCGTTACGGATCCCACGCACACGATTATCTTCCCATTATACATATTATTTGCTCATCTCCGAGTGAATGATCGTGCATGAAACCCGTATGGTCATCCATATACTGCAACGTCGAAATGATATTCCGATTCGCTTGGCGCTGTTCAAATATTCCACTACAACAGTTATTCGTACGAGGAATTGTTTAATGCCCTGGCATACCTATGTACTTGTTCCCGTATTTGTAGCGGAGTGTATGTAAAAAGGCGCGGGACAATCGGACACCCGACGAATTGGTGGTTGGTAAATTTTTCTTTTGATTTTCTCCCGGGATACCGTAGTTGCGATTCGCATTCGGCTGAACCCGAGTGTGTTACCCGGAAGTTCGATAGGGAAAGCGTCTGCGATGGAAACTCGATTTTCCACGAATGCGCCCTCGGCGGATTGTTCAACCTGGTTTGCATGTGTGCGCGACGTAATCGCATTTATAGAAAATCCCCACTGGCCCTTTCAAGAATCCGCACTGCGATGCGGCGAGCGAAACGACGACGCGGTTGGTCGCAAAGCTGCACGGGACTCTATTTTAAACACTGCCGACGAATTAAATCGCATACGGCAAGCTCAGCAAGTAAATCGGGGAACACGGCTACGTCCATTTCTGGCATAGCAGCAATCTCGATCGCTTCGCGAAATTTAATTCGCGACAATTTTTCTCGCAAACTTAAATTTCGTTCGTGGTCGCGGTACTATATTCGCGTAACGTTTAAATTTAAGAGCTCGAAATTTTTCTCACCTGAATGTCGGAGAGGGTGGCACGGGAATGATGGCTGAGGCGGCAGACCATGTCACCGGTGTCACCATAATCGTAAGAGTGGCAACGGAACGGCGAGTTCAGGCACAATTCGCGGCATTCGTCTGACGTGCTGACGTCTTGGTAAACGGAATCCACAGTCTTCAGTATACGGCCGGTCAGCTTCTTAAATTCACAAAGTTTCACTGGCTCTTCCACGCAGTGGTTTTCCAAGTAATCCACGCCCTTCGCTGCCTGGAAGGCGTTCGAGCCGGCAACCGTCAATCTATCCATATCCGAAAGTTCACACTGCTTGGTAGCGTTGATGTAATTAGCGGATCTGAAATTCAAAGGAAATTTTTCATAAAGAACTTGTCGCATGATTACCGATTAGTTTCTCATTTACGATGATTTCCGTAATTTAAATTGAGAAACTAATGATTATTTTATATCATTTCGAAGTAATTAAGCGTCTTCAGATATAAACTAATTGATCGTCTTCAGATACTAGCTATCTCCATACACGTGTAAATACGATATATACTATATTGCCTCTATAGTCATGAAACGACACTTCGAAATGTTGAATAGCGAAAGGGGAAAATGCAAATCCGCTTCAGTCGTTTCTCATCATACGCGGTACAAACGTATATGGAAAGGACAGACGTGCTGTCGGTTGTCCCTCGGTCATCATCCCGCCGCTAATCCCAGAAAGCGAGTTATAAAGAAAACACCCACGTACGAACGAATCCGAGCCGCGGGTTTCGTTTCCTATATAGCGGAGACACGCGGCGGCACGAAATACGCTGGAATAATTGCTTCCCGCCGCGCTTTACTGCATCGTAATAATGCGTGGTTAATAATACTAAACGGAGCTAGGCGAGGAACAATTAAGAAAACGTTAATTTACTAATGCTAACCCCCGGGAGGAGGAGTGTCATATCCTCCATTCTCATTTCTCTCTTCCACGCCTACCGTGCCGCGCCGCGGATATCGAATAGCACGGCGTGTCGAAACGGACAATAATAAACTCTCCCGACGTTTTGCGGAATTTTATCTTAACGCCGAGAGCACGGATCTAACGGCTTGAATAGCAGCTCTCGACAAATCGTGCGTCTACTCATCCATAATTATGGACATCTGGATGATGGAGTGACGTTTACATTAACGTTTCAAGCGCCATATAAACGGTACGCGATACATTGACGTCTATGATCGATTGGCACTTGAATCTGTGAAATTTCTATTTAATTGAATCACACACGAATTGGTTAACATTAATAATTTATCTTGATTAGACTACGGCAAAGTGAGTTTCCCTGAAACGTAAAAGTTTCATGTCCGAGAAGGAAACGGCACTTGCCAATAAATTTTTCTCGGTGAGCAACCTCGATATTTATTTATCAGTTTCGAAAATCGGTAGAGGTTTCCGGATCTGATAGAAGATCTGAATCGTGAAATGACAAAATTACATTCGTGGTCACAAAAATATTTATCTCGGACCTGCATTGCGTATGTATGCACTGATAACAGACACTATACAATATTGTCCTGTAAACATTTGTTTTTCGACTTTGTAGATATCAGTGGAAACTGATAGTATTTTATTGCCTACGGTGCGCGGAGTTTCAGTCAACAGAATATTTTATCATATTTTTTTATTGATTGTTTTTTTCGCCATATTCATCATATTGCGATTTTTCTTGCGTTTGCAGTAGTCAGTAGAGCTCGGTCGTAATAACGGAACATTTCCATACGGATGGTTGATTTATGACTTACGACTTTAAGAACGCAGCATCTTACGCGGCGTCTAACGTAACTTAATATTAGCCTAACTGTTATAAAATACGGCTCCGCGCCTGTCACGTAATGTCCAAAAGTTAAATCATAAAGTACTTATTCTAATTACGCATTAATTAGAATAAGCATAAGTTTGCAATCTAATATTATCGAAACAAGCGACTATATTGAAACTAGTGTTTATATATGAATAAAAATTCTCGAATCTCACTATTAATTACAATCCTGTTTTTCCGAGCCTATAATTTTGCAGATCGACGGAGTGGCGCGAGGATATAAGGCAAAGACGTATCGAACGTGTACATCGTCCATTAATATAACATGTGCGGCCGCATTCTTGACGCAACCGCAACTTCCTTCGTTCATTCGCGTCCGCTCGACGCGGCGCGCACGAACGCGTGTTCGACACGCTTTCAAAACGGGAGTATCCGGATAATATCGCGGCTCCCTGATCTTTTGTATCTCGAGATCACGTCTTCGGCGCTCCGCGCGGTCGCGCTCTATAATCCAGGATTAGTTATTCCCCGCGTTGAACGTCCTCCAGATAATCCAGGATAGTTTCCGACTTGGACGAGACATCGAAGTCATTACCATTCTTTTCTCCGCCCGCGGAAGAAAAGACCGGAAAAACTAAGTGGGAGCGAAAAAGGCAGGAGTTTTCGTCGCGATGTGCTCAGGTGCGCGACCGGGCATCATCATCGAAACGAAGTTTGTCCTTGGACTGCCACCCGGGTCGGCGGCGCGGCGTGGGGAGGAAGTGAAAACTGTTCCCGCAGGTCCCGGACGCCGCAGAGAGAGAGAGAGAGAGAGAGAGAGAGAGAGAGAGAGAGAGACCGCCAAATTTATTCCACGTCGCTCCATCGATTTCGGATTATATTGCCTTAAGACCTGAATAATATTCATGGGTGCCACGTTATGATTTCAATATTCCCCGGGGGTTCCCGCCGGGCGGAGACGAAGTCGAAAAATCACCGCGGTCTTATGCGGCCGGGCGCGATAAACCCCGAGGCTCGGTCGAGAATATAATCGAATCGGCGGCGCGCCCGCTGTCTGTAGCTCCCACGATTATCGACGTGTCCTCTCCTTACCGTATTCCCTCCTCCTCGGCACATTGCAAATCGAGAGCGCCCACCATCGGAGGGCGCGAATATGAGCGTTGCGCGCCGCGACACCGCGACAATGCCTCGCAGTAAAATTTCCACGATGCGAAATGAATGGGGTCACGAAAAATGCGTCGGCCAGCTTTGTTTCACGGCGCTGGTGCATCAAATATATGTATATGTGGATGAATGTTTGCTCGTTAAATCAACAAGTTTCGGTTCAATTGTTCGTGATTCCAACACAATAATTGTCCGATGGCCCCTCCCCTTTCCTCTCCCCCTCTCGTCGCCACGTCAATGGCAATACGTCGTTTATTATTCATTTTATATGCAAATCCCAGACAATCGCTTTTATTGCAAAATTATTTTTAATCCGTTCACTGATTGCACCTCGTTGATTATATACGCTCTCTCTCTCCGAAAGATCTCTCGTTCGCGCTCTGCTGATGAAGATATCGAATCACGCCACGTTGGAAACAGCGTCTCATTATCGTTGACGCGCAAAAACTATTAAGAAAGGCTCGCTTCAAAGCTCGTTGCCCCGATGGTGTAATGTAAGAAAGGTTGCCAGTGATGCTACTGAAGTTGGAAATATACTGGATATTATAAAAACAACGCTGAAATCGTAGCTAACGAGTTGCAGTAAGTTGCAACGAACACGGTAGTGTCGCTAACGATGATGGAGTATGCCAATCATTCTTGCAAAACTAAAAGCCACAATATACCACGCAATTTTTCAAGTGCATTTCGTAAAGTTTATCTCGTGCTATTAATTAGACAGGAAGTTATTGGCGAAACAGAAGAATGATAATTATTTTTGAATTTCCGATAATTATCACGTGCATTGAATTGTTTAGACGTGAAAATAATTGCGATGAAAGATTTAAATTTTTACAAGACTTTTATATCAATTTACAATGAATACGTTACACTGTGAAACGTATCTGTCTAATTTGCGGACAGGCTGATGTTACAACGATCATGTTATGTTGCATTTACAGAGCAACAAGATTTATTGCATTGTCTGCCATAAATAATATCAGAAAGTAGAAAATTACATATTTAAAGCCAATTCACTTTTTCCTTCTGGCTTGAGAAGGGAAGTAAAAGCAAGTTGTGTTATTTGTGAAAATTTGCTCGTGGAGAGTATCTTGCTTCGCCACGCATCGATTCCGCAATTTTATGGGGGATACTTTTGGGGTGGCTATACTTATGAGGTAGCCGAAGAGGAACCTTCTCGTTTCGTAAAACATCTTGCTCGCCGTATATCGTCGAGCTAACTTCTTGGCTGGCATTATCGTCGAGAGCCCTCTACTTAGAGAGAAACGCGAGGAGATACGGCCACTAAAGTCCGGACCCCTCAAAGTTTAGTTCGGATAGGCGAGACGGTATCTCCCGTGGTAAATAATTAATGGACAAAAGGGTAAAAGCACGTATACATATCGTTACCTGAACTCATCGCATCTATCGTTTGCTTAGCCAATTTAAGGTGATTTTTTTCTTGGTTTAAGAATTTAATTAAATCTTTTCTCATTTTTTTTTTAAATATTTAACACTATCATATATTTCTATAATTTGACTCCGCGATTTAAATAGGTCAAAATAAAATAAAGAAGATATTTATAATTTAATTCACAAAGAAACTTCTAGATTAAATAATTTGTGAATAAAAAATTGGTACTTCAGAATCTTTATTAAAAGAAAATCTCTTCTAAGGAGACAAAAGAATCTTATTAGGCGTGGATATATATTAAAGAACATCAGTATTCGACATGCCTTCCTCTGTTTCACGATTGGAATTTCGTGTTACCTGCGACAGAGCAACGCGAGCCGGCTGAAGATTTGGCGCTGCGACACGAGACAAGAAGAGAGGGTAAGCCGAAAGTCTATTGCGCAACGATAAAGCCTCCTCTGATTTTCTTTCCCCGATTCGGGACAAAAGATATCCAGCGCGCTCGTCTTCGTACAACTTAGAGTAAACCTCGAGGGAAATTTTAACCTTCCAGGCAGATGTTAAATGCGAAGTTAACTGCGACGGGACGACATTCCGTCCGTCTCTCTTCCCATCAGCTCTCGCTCCCCTTTTCCTCCGTTCCCGACACTCCCTCTCCTCCTGTCTCCGTATTGTCGCTCTATCGTAATTCTCTTTCCGCACTTCCACGCCGTACTATTCCGAACAAATGGCGAGACAAAAAAAGACAGGCCGGATCAAGCCGGCACGAAAGGGAGGGCGAAGACGAAAAGGGTGGAGCGCGGGGCGACGTGGTTGGTGATGGTGGAAAAGAATTACAAGCGGTTCGCCCCGCTGCATCTCGATGAATCTCAAATTATTCTTCGTCCGCGCTCCTGCCGCGGGGACCTCCGTTGCGAAGACAACCGAAGAGGGAGCCCCTGAAGGGAAAAGAGAGGGAGCAGTACATATGTATACATACCCCCCTAT